TGTAATTTGAACTAGCAACACTGAAAAATGCAGAAATTAACCTTGGATTAAAAATATTGTGTCTATACATGTGGAGACGATAACTTCAGAGTGGACATGGATGACGTAAATGATGACACTTTAAAACCATGGATTTTTGTATTAATTAACCCGTAGACATTGTTTATTTTCCATCAGTGATTCAATAAAACCTTATATTCATTACACAGCCTTTTTGAGATGGACACTGGAGCGACACAAACAGGAGGAACTTTCATCATCATCATCCTTCACAAAGCTGAAGGTGTGATCGATAAAAAGATGAGAACTGTCTTCTGGGGGCGAAACATGACAACTGACCACATGTGAATAAGAGCCATCATGATGTGGAGAACATGAGCAGCTTCAGAACCAGATTAATATAAATGACTTCTGCTGTTACTTGACAACTTTCATTTTGCAGAACACGTCAAACCATCAGCAGAATACAGAGACACCTCCCCTATCAAAGCTGAGGAGAAGCTGTGATCTAAGGACACAGAAAAGACACATGTCCTGCATGAGTATTAATAGCAAGGAGACAAAGTTGAGCTGAACATCTTCACATGTTCTTGTTCCTAATTTAAGATCCAACAATCGGCTCTAAATCGAGACACAATTAAAAATGGTGGTTGGAATTAATAACAGTATGCATCCACTTTGTTTATCCTCCTGCTTTTCTTGCTGTGGTCTTCTTGAAAAAAAAAAATCTCTTGAGGCAACAAGGCAAATGTTACGAGTAAAGACGAGTGGACCTGGAGGTGGATTATCAGCATACCTTATTATAACAGTATCGATCAATATCACAGATTGACAAACTTAAAAATATACTAAAAGGCAAAATTTGTGTCTTTATCTTTGTGCGAGATAAAGACCTTCAAAATGTCTCAGTAACCTCAGCTGCTGTACAAGGTGAACACAGACCTCACATATAAGTCCTGCATTAAATCCTCCGCAGTGTCAGTAACAGTAAGGCATGGCTTATAAAACCACAGTTCAGTAATCAATACGGCACATTCCAACTTCAACAGGGTCCATTTATGTCGACTTTACACAAACAGGAGCTCAACGACGAGCTCAGCTGATTCCCGTTGGGTCCAATGTGTCCACGTCTGAACGTGAGCAGTGATTAAACATTTTCCTAAGAACTCAGGCGCAGAAACACATCGCAGTCCTCCGTCTTGTGGTGGATGTGATGTAAAAAATACCAGAGAAGAGAGGTCAGGCTCAGTTAAGTCTCAGCAGGAAGTGAGGAGCTGCCGTCAGTACTGAAAAGAGATGACAGAGTTCACTTTGTACACGTGGTACGAGCGATTCCAGAAAACTCTGGTGAAGTAGTTCGTGTAGGGGGAGTAGTTCATTTTTATTTCGTGGCAGAATCGCCCGTGCTTGGAGAAGGAGTAGATCTCTCCCTTGTCGTAGACAACCTGAATGGAAGAAACAAAAAGAATAATCACTTAGCGTTTCTTGTACCATATTTCAAAAGACAAAGTCTGAATACAAAGGCTCTAATTATCCTCTGCACCAATACAAAGCTATTGCACCATTCAAAATATATTACAAAATAAATATGAGATATAAAACAGTTAGAAGTTATTTAAGTCAAAGAGTTGTGGTACGAGCATAAATAAACTCACATGTCCATTGGAGATGTCCAGCAGGTCTTTGATCCTACAGCCCTTATTTAGACTAAGCTCTGTACAAATCGACTCCTCGATGATCACGTAGTTTGTCTTCTGAGACGTCAGAATCTTGTAGATGTCCTCTGCAGATCTCATTGCATACACCTGATAAGTCTTCGAGGGAAGGAAAAAAAACCTACTGTTACTAGAATAGCTACTATAATCTGGAGGAACGTCGTTAAACATCTGTAACATGTAAGAATACCATGTCGTCATTTTAACGAACCATTCAGCACTTTTTGTTTTTAATCTTTTCTAAGAGAAAGTGCTTGTTTTCTTTACTATGGAATGCATCTGTCTTTTTGAAATGAATCTCATCTCTCAGCTGTGTCTCGTCACTCACGTCTTCACTCCTCCTCAGCAGGTTGATGTCAGAGTAAAGCGGTAAACTGGTCACAGCTGAGCCTGAACACAGCTTCACTGTTCCCAACAGCTGCGGACTTCCTGCAAAGACAGCTGCCACTGGAGCCTGTGACCTGGAAGAGGAGAGGATACACATTTTAAATGCAATAAGAATAAAATAGAGAACAGAGAGATGTAAGGTCTCGGGATAACATATAAATCGAGTTTTCCTCATTCAAAAGGGAATATCACATAAATACTTGAAATAATTATGAGTTCATTTCTCACCTGATCCAGCTGATCAGCTCCACCGTATCTGGGTCGTAGAACTCCTGCAGATCGGACAAATCCGCTAAGACACGGGGGCAGTACTGCAACACAGAGGAGAGCGGAACACAGGAGATGTATAATTTAAATTGTTCAGAGTCTGAGCGATGAGAGAAAAAGAGCTGAAGTTCTCACCTCTCTCCATAAACTGAAACCAATGATGGTGGGAACGGCTGTGCTCAGGATCAGAGACTGCAGAATAAAAGATAAAGAATTAACAACAGAAGCAAGAACCTGAATGATTCCGTATTGTTCAGAGACAAACGATGGAGATTAGACTCGTCTGCTTCTGTATGTTACTATAACATTGATATATATTTTCATGAGTGAAGCACTGTGTTTGTTTTCAGAGTGTCAGAGGACACTCACCAGCACAACGGGGTGAATGGACCTCAGTTTAAGCCACTTGAACACAGTCATCCAGAGGTCTGGAGAACACACACCGAAAGCTGTGAACATGCAGACGTATGGCGTCCATAAATACTTCATCCTGTGTGAAGGAAGAAGACAGTCAGTTTAAAAAGGTTTCATGTTTCATGTACTAAATCTAAATTAATTCACTTGTTACGCTGACAGACTCACCCATCAAAGAGCAGAGTCAGGCCTCCAAACAGCAGCGTGTGAAAAACGTGGTAGATGACCTCAGGCTGCTCTCCTATTCGTCCATCTTCAAGTTGGAGGTCAGTTTTCATTGGCTGACCACTGCAGAGAAGTGAAACTGACTTCAGCTAAAGGCACAACCATGATGAACCATGATCCGTTTTCTGTGAAGTATCGTTTTAAAAAGACACCATATAACATCAGTGCATAGTGAGTGATGTGGCGCGAGCCTCTAACCTGAGTCTTCTGTAAATGGTCTGCAGGGTGGACAGCAGACACACGGTGAGCACCAGGAAGTAAAAGGGAAGAACAGAGGCCTGCGTCAGTCGCAGAAATAAATCCTGACCCGGACTCTGCAAGGTCTCTTGACACAGGAGGAGGTTGGTGACAAAGTCACTGACGACGAGGAAACAAACATGTGGCCGTTAGATTAAAGCAGATTAAAACAGACTAAAAGAAATATTGAATAATAAACTGTTCGTAATCACAGAGGAAATTAAATGATGCCACAGTTTATTTAAACCGAAGTCCAGCCTGTGACTTTGAATGATGGCGTTGTAACTCACGTTGTTGTGTTGAGTCCAAATTTTACTTCAAGGAACTTCAAAACGAAGTCGCCTTCACTCACAGGTACAAGTTTCTGTCGATGGAAAACACTGGTTAGTGTCCAAACTCTTAGAAGCCACCACTGAATGAACATAACAGTTTTTTTAAGTGGTCAAAAGAGTGTGATTTTACCTTGACCAGATAACTGAAGGTGATCCCTGTGGTAAAGACCAGGTGGAAATGGAGGAAGAGCTTCATTACTCTGGCAACTAGAGGACCCACCTTCATCTTTTGCTGAGATACAAATACAGAAAACAACTGTTTCTAATTGGATGTAGAGAAACTTGAATTCTTCACATCTGAATGTCCGCAAACAAAGAAGAGTTACAAAAATATCTATCTGGCTGAACTCTTGTCGTGTGGGAGCAGCTAACTCTACCTGGAAGTACCTCGCGAGCACTGAGCCAATCAGGAGGCTGAGCAGCGGCGAGCTGAGCAAGGTCGGGTTCTGAAACTGGAACAAGTACGCCAGGAACAAGGAGCTGAGGTACACCTTGTGGATATCTGCCATCTGTAGGCACCAGGGATGAAGGGATGAAGGAGAAAAGAAGAGACAACAAACGAGAAGGGGAAGGTGAATATACATTTATGAGCATAAAAGTTAAATCTAAGACTTGCTTGTTGTGTGGTCAACATTTAGTTACCTTTCGTGACGGCACCAGGTCGAAAGAGTCGAGCAGGAAGAGACAGAGGCCTTGGATGAAGAGCACATAATGGCTGTGTTCCCACACCAGGAGGAAGGTGAAGGTGGTGGCACTCATGGTGAGATAGCAAAACATCTGTAGAGAAACACAGTTTGTGTTTGTGTAGATGCAGAGTTCAATCATTTCAAACCCACTGGTTTTCATCTGCAGTGGGAATCGATACAATCATCATTCACAGTTAATTGGTTCCCGCTCAGGCAGTTACGGAAAAGAGCTACAAGTTCTCATGAGAGGCTCACCTCAGTGGCAGAGCAGATATTGTTACTCAGGAATCCAGTCAAAGCTGCCACCTGACAAGAGAAGTAAGGCAGAGCCCAGTTGTCCCGTAGCGGAATAGCCTGGTCCACTTTGGTTGTGTCTGGTCTGTAGGAGGACGAGTTACAAAGAGGACAAGTCAAACTTTTGCACAAGGAAAAGGAGGAAATCCAGATTTTAGAGAGGGAATCATTTTGCTTCACAACTGACGTTTTTAATCATATTAAAAGCAGGAATGTCTTTGGAGAAAAAACCTCCCACTGAAGAGTGACGAACATCGCCTCACCTGTTGATCACGTACCAGGCCACGGCCAACATGCCAGCCACCCACGTACCGCTCATCACCCAGCTGCACACAAACAGCGCGGTGACGTAGACCACCTGGAGGCCGAAAACCGCGCCAACATAGAAGTAGATGGGCTCCACGATATCCTGGAGACAGAGGGACACAAACGTGTTTTATCACAGCTGAGGAGTTGAAGTTTACATCCACGTTCGTCCCGACTCATACAACTCACGTCATGCAGACTTAGAGGGACCCATATTGTTGAGTTCTACTGATTCTACTGAGTTACAATGACTGACCTGGCTCCCTGTGACTCTGTACACAAAGCTAGTGATGAGCTCTGGATACAGAGACAGACGCTCCACTGCGTTGATGGTTTGGCCTGAGACAGTCCTGTTATCTATGATCAGCTCATAAAACCCTGGGGAACAAGAGAAACACGAGAACAGGATTTGTTGGAGCAGAAGAGAGTGACAGGTGACGTCTGTTGAGATGCTGGTTCATTTTTCTTTCCTCAATAAGAAGCAGAAATGACGTGAACCTCTTTCAAAGGACGGGGCCGCCAGCAGCTGCTTGTAATAGTAATAATAGAGCCCGCTGCCTGCTTGGAAGGTGATTTCACGCTCCAGCTCCTGAGGCGGAAAAAAAAAAAAGTGAATTTTAGAATGATGACAGAAAATGTCACGGAAGCGTAAGCACAGGCGAAAACAAAAGTCACCCACCTGTCGAGTAGAAAACCAGAACTTCCTGTCGTGATACGTTGAGAGATACACAGCGTAGAGAACACCACAGGCAACCGCAGCCAAACAGCCGAAGAACACCTTCACCAGACGCTGCAGGAAACCGGCTGCGGAGCAGAAACACACACCAGAGTCAAATTCCTCGTATATGTGTTCACATACTTGTGATGATGGTTCTTATTATTGTTAACTTGTGCTGCAATCACTACTAAAGTTTCTCTTACTATGTAAAGTGGCTTGAGATGTAATGTTTGCTGCTATACACGTAAAAACTGAGTAAAGTGAGGAGACAAAGCTCCACAGGAGAATGAATATCAGCTGAGTGACACAGATTCAGAGACATTGGTTCGTTGGTGTTTTGAAATGCATTGGCGTTACAAGTGAAACTCACATGTTGAGGACCTCCTGGATGTTTTCACCGACGCTCCTGGTTTGTTTGATTCCTCCTGTTTCTGCTCAGCAGCCTCCTCTTCGCCTCCATCGCTCCTCCGCTGCAGGTCCTCACCTCCTGTCGCCGCCTCGTTCATCTCTGATCGGGTTCAAAAACAACCAAACACTTTATCTTCACCGCCGCTTCTCTCTGGAGTGACCTGCTGCTCACGAAGCTAACCTCCGGTGGTCGGACGGCAACATTTAGCTCCACTTACCTTCAGCCCGCGGCTCTGGCTCAGCCCGGCTCCCCTCTCTGTCTGCATCCCCCTCCTGGATCTCTGTTTTCCGGCATCTTAACTCAGCCATGACGAGAATTAGTCCTGGGAGAGTTGTGCGCTGTGGAGGGGCGGCAGCATGCTAGCTAACAGGCGGGCAGCTAACCCCAGATAGCACCGGCGGGACTCGGCTGTGAGGTGCCTCCGCGGGTGGGTGATGACAGGCCCGGGTGAAGCTTCACTCCTCCTCCGGGGGGAACTTTTCTTCCACGGAGATGAGAACTAACATCGCGGGGCGTCGCTGTGTGGAAGCGGTGTTAGCTGGACAGGAGGAGGAGAGGTTGGGGGGGAACTGTTCTGCTGCTGCCGGGGCCGGGACCGGGACATGCCGGAAGTGTTTGACTGTGGCACCGCGGTGCTTTCACTCCAGCGGCGGCGTCTTCCGGCTCAGTTCACCCGGGGATGGTCGTCAGAGGACGGGCAGTCAACCTCAGAACCACCGCTCTCCACCACCGTGATTACTCTCAGACACACTCACATAAAATACCACTCAAATCATATTAAACTCATTTTATGGTTAATCTCTTCCTGCTGACTTTCCATATTATTTTTAATTGCCAATGTGTATAAATCTCATTTATTAGAATTTCTATTATTTAACAGCTTCCATGTCATGTAAACCAGAGCCGAATTGTATAATTACCATGTGCACACAGGACACATATGTTGTTATGGAATTTTAGTGCGTCTTTTATTTTATAGTAACATTTCAATTGAATTTGTTCCCCCCCCCCCATGTTTCATATCATTATAGAAAGCAGGAAAGCAGAGGGACATAGATCATTTCCTTCCATGTCATGTGACCCAGTGTCTCCAAACCAGCGCCGAAATGTGTCACTGTCCTGTGCACATAGGACAAGGATCTTATCATTGAATTGTAAGGAGTCATTTATTCAATATCAATATTTTTATTTTAAAATTAGCATTTTTCCCATTAGGTTCCATGTTGCCACTGTAAGCAGCAGTGACATATAGAGTATAATTGCAGTTTTGTAAATACTGTGTGTGTGTGTGTGTGTGTGTGCGTGCATGTGTGTGTAAAGACAACTGACAGAGACGGATTCATCTGAGCAGTTTAATCCATCATAATAGATTTTCACTGCCTCATGCTGAGGGTACAGATAATATGAAAGCAAAAATATACCTAACATCAACAAGTGTTAAAACCAGAGGAAACAGCCAATGCAAATAAAAAGGCACAAATAGTAAAACACCATTAAAGACTGTGCATTTCATCTTTCAGGAACCTGGTCCCAAACCTAAAAACCGGAGTAAAATTACTTAAATAAACATGTATATATTCATATATAAAACATACTTAAACTCCATACTGTATAAACACTAACTTCATACTGTATAAACATTAACTGTGATGTTTAGGGGATTAATCTCGGGAATAAGAACCTTTTGGTAAATTCCTTAAAACTAAGTGGTTGGAACGTCCCAGTCCAGAAACTGAAAGGTGACAATGAGCCTTTCTTTGACAAAGTAACACGATGATTCTTCTTCTTATTCTTCTCCTGATGATTCCTTTGAACCCTCTGATTCTTCCTTGGTTGGATTCCCTTCAGCGACCACTGTTTCTGCTTTGGAGATGAAGAATATCACTTTTTAATTCGAGACTTTAATCGCAGCATCAATAATCGCATCGTTCTGTGATCGGTACCTGTTCTGGTCTGGTCCGAGCTTCCCGTTGGTCTGGCCTCGTCATCGTCACACCTGTCCAGTATTATTTTCAGGAGTTTGGTCACCTGAGGGTGTTTAGCTGCTGTGATTAAGGGGTCGTCGTCAGAACCGTCACTTGATGACCCTAAAAAATATTGACAAAACAAAGGTGTGAGCCAACAGAGCAGATTCATCTTTTACCTCTAACTACTCATTTTCAGACATGTGATTCTTGTTTGTTCTATTCTGCTACTAACGTAGTCGTCTGCTGTTAGTGTCATGATCCGCTTATTATCTTGTGTTACCTTTACCAGTCTTTACCTGACACGTGCTTTCTTGGCTTTCTTGGGGGGGCTGTGTTCCTCTTTTTTGCCGTCGAAGAATTTGTTTTGGTTTTCCTTTCTTCGTCTGTGTGGTTCTTCTTCACAAGGCTTATCAAGGGCTCGTCGTCTGAGCTTTCATTCGTCAGTCCTGCCAAACAGTCACAGCAATAAGGATTCAATCTAAAGTACTGGTGTACATGGTGTACTTCTCATCTCGTTAGAAATGCTGCCGTAGTACCTCGTCTCTTTTTTGAGGCGCCACCTCGCGGTGCAGTTGTCTTCTTTGTGTTTTTCTTCACTGGTTTCTTCTTATTGGCTTTAAGGTTCGCCAAGGGCTCGTCATCATCGTCCGAGCTGCTGTCTGAGAATGAAGAGTCTTTAAAAACCCAAGAGTTTAGCCACTGAACAACTTGTAATTAAACAAAATAGAGTTATTTCCTTCTGGTCAGTCCAATAAAGTGGTACATACCTTTTAGTGATTTGTCTGTCTGTTTTGATTTTGTTTTCTTGTCGTTTGCCGATGCAGCCGCTGTCCTCTTGTTTTTTATTGTTGTCAGTTGTTCATCATCTGAGCTGTCGCTGGATGACTCTGCATATTTAACTGGAATAAAGCAAAATATATTTTTGGTCCCGATCATCTCAGAAAAAGCCTTTTAGACATTTTTAAATTTCTACATTTCACACCCACCCTTTTTCCTCGCTGCCGTCCTTTGGGATTTCATTACCGGGCTTTCTTTTCTAGATGATCTTTTTGGCTGATGTCTGGATCTAAGTTTCTTGGCAGTTTCACTCAGAGGTTCATCATCCAAACTATCGTCATCGTCAGCTGGTGCTTCTGTGTAAAAACAAAGATTCAAGTGTCAAGAATCTGTGAGAGAGAACAGCAGCGTTCTGTTGATGCCGCAGGTTCATGTGGAGACAGCGACCGTACCTTTTTTCTTTGTATCAACAGATTTCTTTGGAGGCTCCTTTGCAGCTTTGGAAGACACTTTGGCGATTTTGATCAAAGGCTCATTGTCAGAGCTGTCTGTGTTCGAATAGTCAAAACAGTTACATACAGCAAAGTCAACATTCAGAAACCAACCTGCTGATGGACTGGTGATGTAACTAACCTGTATTGTTGCTGTTTGGGTCATTGGATGATGTGTTTTCTTTTTTCCCGGGTTTCTTAGCAGATGCAAACTTTGTTTTCATCTTAATCAGCTGCTCGTCATCGGAGGAGTGATCAGACGCTGCAACAGGAGAAGATATAAACAGACACATCTTCTTTCAAAGGTCACACTACATCAGGTTGAAAGTATTGTACTTCAATTTGTGTAATTTAGATCATCACACACGAGTGATAACATCACAAGGATTATTTTATATTCAATTTCTGCCGATAGAGCCCTTTGACTTAAATCCTACACGCTGAACCTTTAATGCACTTTGTCTCCAAGAGGAGTGGCTGAAAATCAATCAAGAGCAGGAAGACTTCCAGCTGCTGTTCCAAACTGTATCATCCACCAAAGGGAAGGTCACTAAGTACAGACTTCGTAGGAATCCAAAACATCTGCACATGCCAGAGTTGCCTCTTTCTAAGAGATCAATCGATAACATCAGCAGTACAGTTAAAAACCTATGTTGATGTAATCACCTGCATTCTTTTTTGTGCCATTAGATCTGGACGAAGTGTTTTCCTTTTTCCCAGGTTTCTTTGTTTTCATCTTTATCAGCGGCTCGTCATCTGAGGAGTGATCAGAAGCTGCAACAGGAGAAGATATAAACAGACACATTTGACACATTCTTCTTTTTAAAGGTCACACTCCATCAGGTTGAAAACATTGTACTTTCAATTCAAAACTGGCTATAACATTGTGGCATTGCTTTCAAACTTGTCCTTGAGCAAGCATGGGCTCCTCTAAGCAACTGAAAATGAAGCCAATTGATGCCATAAAAGCAGACGAGGCTGTAAAACAACAACTTTACTCCTTATCACCTTTTTTCTTTGTGTCAACAGATTTTTTTGGAGGCGCTGAGAAAGGCTTCTTTGCAGTTTTGGCGATCTTTATGAGAGGCTCATTGTCAGAGCTGTCGTTTGTGTTCAAATCTGAAAAAGAGCAAAAAATTTAGGCGATTCACTCCAGACAGTGAATCATCGCTAACATCAGCAAGACAGTTAATAATACACACACGTGTTGAAGAACTCACCAGAATTCTTGTTTGTGCTGTTAGATCTGGATGTGTTTTCTTTTTTCACAGGTTTTTTCTTCTTGATGAGCTGCTCATTGTCGTCGGAGTGATCAGAAGCTACAACAGGAGAAGATACAAACACGCAGATTTAGCACTTTTTGCTTTTGCTGAAAATAGTTTACTTACGATGGGCTGTTTCTCCTCACTGTTTCCCCTTTTCAGCAGTTTTGAAAGTGGTTCAAAGTCATCAGAGCTGGGGCTGTCATTCCCTGTCATCAGTCAGAGATACAATGAGATGAATGAGTCAGAAACTCCCTTTCGAGGTTCCTCTGGTAAATCTGAACATCTGAGTTCTACGGTTCATTTGTACCACAAGAGATTTTTAGTTTACACATCCTGGAGCCAAGTATTTTGAATTGTATTGGGAGCCATTACCATAAAAGTTATGTGAAAGTATTACCTTTTATTACTGATGGTAGGACAAGCACTCTGATCCAACCAGTACAACCAGTAATACCACATTCTAAAAACACTTCTGTAATTGAAGTTTACATGTCTGACCAGCAACAGGTGCATTAAAACATTCACTCGTTTTGTTGTGGTCAAATCTACTGAAACGTGACACACACACAGTGGAGGTCACCGTGAACACGAGCAGCGTGAAATATCTGTGTCACCTCTCAAGGATGTTTTAATAATAATATTTAACGTGAGCAAGTTGTGCAAGTGTCGCACTGAAAAAGTAGACAACTTTTGATTTTCTCAGAAATCAGTGGGGGGAGTGTTCTAATGAATAAGTCTTTAATAATAATAATATATAATAAGTCTCATTAAACTTTCATCGTTTGGATCTCGTCCCCTCTGTGTTGTCACCAGGTTTCCTCACTCGACCACATGACCCGCGGTGGAAACTCCCATGCTGCAGCCGCAGAGGTGTGAGTGTCAGAATCAGATGTTGCACTTGAAAGAATTAATGATGTGGCATTTATCGTGTTCGGACTTGGTCAGCGTGAACTCCTCCATCTTTGTTTCACCAACTTAGTTTAGCTCCCACACATCTGGCTCCACAGCTCAGATGTTTTTTGTTTTTTTTAAAAAACCCATCACCCATCAGCTGTTTACCTGGAGAGTCGTGTATCTCGGTACCGGGCTGGTCACACGTGCTAACGTCCATGTTGTTGATCGCTGTGACTTTTATATCCTCCTCATCCGAAAGGCGCCAATTGATCCTGCTGCTGTTAGCTTCTGGTTTCACAGTAAATGTTAGCTTAACTATCCAGCTGTTTCTTTTTTTACGAGCTTTGTCTCCCCCCCAGATGTTCTGCTCCGTCAAACCGCAGACACAACACAAGGAGTCGGTTCCCACGTTTGAAACCAGTTCCTCTTGAACACCTTGTTCTTTCCTCCCAGTTCGCGATCGGTTTGTTTTCTTCCGTCCCCGCGTTGGAGGAAGGCGCTCGGGCGAGTGTTGATGACGTCTCGTACCGTCATTGGTTCCCTGACTCCCTACCAACAAAACTAGAGGGAAAGGTAATCCTGGATTTCTTGGGAAATCTGCATTTGTTTTTAATTTTAGCCCCCAAAAAATCATGTTTTGTATAGTATATATACTTATCATATATAAGTGCTAATTACTAGATGAGTATTCTGGACTTTGGAACACAGTACTCTGCAGCGTAGAGGAAAGTTAAGACATTAAAGTGTATTTTACAGAATAGAGCAACTCATTCAAACATCACTTTGAGTTACTAACGTGTTCATCTTCCTCCAGAGTCAAACCGATCAGCGGATGGTGGCAGTTGAAAGCTCAGTTTATTACACACATACAAGATAAATACTCAAGCACTGTAATGTCAGACGGACAGGACGTGGTTCTAGATTCTCACACAGATATGACTCTACATGTAAAGCATCGTTAATCAACATTAATTAAAAGACAGTGAGGACATTGCTGTGCTGATTCCCAACCCCCAACAGCTAAAGGTTTAGTTTGAATTCGAGAGCTAACACAAGGGAAATAGGTCGGATTTACTTTCCTCCTTTGGTTGTTTGTGTGACCTTTTTTTTTTAAACAATGATATTCAAAATTGTACAAATACATTATTATTTTGTCTAGGTTGTAAAATCCTAATCCTGATCAAATCCCTGAGAAAGTAAGGGGGACGATCTGGGGTCTTCTGATCAATCTCAACCATGAGAGGAATTTACCTTGTGACGTGAAATATTCCTTTCTTTTTTTTTTTCCTTTTTTCAAATCAAATCAAGGCTATAAATAAAAGTGCTATCGCAGAAGGACTAATAGTAAATATCTAACCTTTCATCCAGTTCACTACACCATTTGTACCAACACACATATAACACATGCAAAACAATGCAAATCTGTTAGAGTTGTATAAATCATTGGTAGTCAACTCTCAAAGAAGATTTCGTTTTTAAATATCACTGTATCATCTCTTGAAACCTGATCTCTGCAGATTAAATCTTATTCAGTTTGATTGATGATTAGAAAACGGAGAGTTAACCAATGTTTCATGCAGCATCGGCTCTACAAAAGAAAATGTTTGACCATCTCATCACCGTTAAACTCAAGATAACATCATCCTGCTCTCCAGCACAGTGGAACATGGCAGAGCTACACAGGGTAATCCAGTCTCCCTTCTTTGCTACTATGGATTTTTGCTTCTTGTCGCCAACTAAAATTATTTTTACAGCTGGTTTGTGACATAAATAAAAATCACTTTAATCAATCGGGTGTTAAGTATGTGGAGCCGGGTCCTGGAGATCGGACACATAACAGCTTGGTGAAACGTTGTGTGGAGCGACTAAGGTAACACAGTCAGAGCTGTTTTTCTCAGTGAGACCCGTGTGTGTCCATGCTGGTGCTGTTGAGTGATCTGGTGCTGACAGTTTACATAGCAGCCATCTTGCTGGCCTCTCGGACCCCACTGAGGTAGGCTCCTGTCACAGTCTGAGGGAAGTGTCTGTTGGTGGCCTGGTAACAAAGATGGTAACTATTAAAATACATCAATTAAAAGTACAGTCACAACATTTGTTTGACCTGTGATGACCTAACATCTCACAATTTAATTTAATATGAGCACAACAAAAAAAAACCTTTTCAGTAAAGATAAGAACTAATAACGATAATGAACATTATTTACATTGCACTGTTCCTAATTATTTTACCTCGCCAGCGAAGAAGACTTTGCCCTGGATGTCTTCAGCAAGGATATCATAGGCCTCTCCACTGCCCCCTGTCTTCACAAAGCTGTAAGACATCTGGGACCATATGTCTTTGCTCCAATGTGTGACGAAGAAATGTATCGGCTCCGGGACGTCCTGTCAGGATGGCAAGAAGAAAATAACAGAGATCAGAAACACACACACACACAAACATTTAACTGTGAATATGATGTCATTACCTGTTCCTTGAAAAGTTCTCGTAGAACTTTCATGCACTCATCAACCACGGCCTTGTCCTCCAGGTCCCGAACAGCAGGGACGGCATCACCAGTGATCACTGACATGAGGACAGCCTGCTTTCCCTACAAATACAATACCGCAGCATTAAAGCACAGTCTCTCATTGTTAACACAGAAAGAAGACTTAAATATAATAGAAAAGACAAATAGCAGTAAGACGATGTTTGTGTCTTTGTCTTGTGGGTGAAAGGAGATAAACAAACCTGTGGATCCATGTCATAGAAGACACTGAACATGCCTCTCTTGTCAGGACCTGGTGGGATGTGACCGAAGTAATCTGCCCCTTGGATTTTGTTGTCCCAGAATCTGTACGGGAACTGAAGAGCGATCTGCAGGTGGAGATACAGATGTTTCATCATTTACCCACAGACAGAGAAGTGAAACTTACAGACACATCAGGCAGTTTTTACCTTTTCTATGATACCAGCTCCCAGACTGTGGATTGCTTTTAGTTTCCTTTCAGGAAGTGGAGGGTTGAACTGAATCAAATTCTTCTGAAGTAAAGTCAATGGGACTGTAACAAGAACCTAAAAGAGGAAAGGACATTAAAGTAAAAATAAACATAACATAAAGTCAAGGATAAAAGATTTTGCTTATTTGAACTGTTACATTCTCTAAGTCTTTATGGATAATAGAGATCCTGTTCTTACCTTCTGTGCCGTCCACTGGGACCCATTGGAGGAAGTAACTCTGACAACGTCACCTGAGTAGTCAATGGCCTGAACCTAAAATATTTTTAACGAGTACATTTATTGCAGTATATAGTACACAACTTAATGCTAAAATGTAAGTGTAGGTAAAGTACAAATGAAGTCGTAAAAGTAAGTTTAAAAAAATAAGAAAAGTCAAACAAACCGGACACTTTGTGCGGACGTCCAGGGCCTCGGCCAGTTTGTGGAGTAAAACAGAGTAGCCCTTGTTGAGTAAAGTGTGGTCTCCTGAGAATTGGGCAAAACACTCGTTGTGATCCCAGGATCTTGCTGATACCTACAAACAAACATTTGTATTATATTACGATATGAGCAGGATGCAGTTCAAGGATAGTTCAAAGAGACTGAGGGATTTTCCAGCCTGAACTTCCTGTCCATCAAAACACATCATGTGACTTTCTGTTCATGCCGACCCTCAAACAGGAATAAAAACTTGCAGAGTTCTTTTTAAGTTCCGAGTTTTCCAGACCTGGTCTAACATGCTTCCACAGCCATACTCCAGGTTGCTGAGGTGAAACTGAAGCACTTTCTCCTCCAACTCACTGAACTGGATCCCAGACTCCTGCAGAAAGTTCTTCTTCACCTCCTGGACTTTCTCTGCAGGAATAAAATCAGGATAATACATTAAAAATAAATCAAAATTCAGTTTTCTTCAAGAAGGCCAAGAATTACTCTTCCCTGATAATATTATCAGGTGCTCTGTGAGAATGGTTCAGCACCTCCCAGGGGTGTGTCCTGGTTCTGTGACTTGTCCTTCCTCCACTCTGACACCACGTCCAGGATGGCGTTAAAGTGGAAGTCCATGCGCTTGTCAATGGCCGGGTCAGTAACCTGTCCTCCCTCCTGGAAGAGGTCACACCGCTCCCCCAGCTTGTGCATCTTGATGCCCATCTGCGTCAGGAGGAAGAGGGAACATAGCTTTTAGAGTTGATAGCAGGGCAGCACAGGATACCGTGTTTAGTCGATCATAAATATTAGAAATACAAATATTTAATAGACTAAAGTTCATGATCTAAATAAAGCAACGTATTTTGGGTCCATACATTAATACATATTAATTCTTACCTGTTCACACATCAGGGCGATGGGGTTATTTACACAACCATTGACAATTTGTGCTCCTCTGCCCACAGTGACGCCCAGAGTCAAATCATCCCACACTCGTCCTCCAATTCTCTCCCTTGCCTCCAGCACCATCACCTGCAAAATCAAAGGAAATAAAGTATGTAACTCTGTGAGCAGACAACAGTGGTAAGATGTGAAATAAGAATCCAAGTTAAGTGAAGTATTTTAACCTGAGCGCCAAAGTTTTGCAGCTGCCGTGCAGCAGCAAGTCCTGAAGCTCCAGCACCGATGACGATAACGTTCTTCTGTAAAAATACGATGTTGGATGACTGTGAGCTTTAACCAAATTAATAATCACAAATATATAGATGTGAGCTGTTGACACTCACAGCACGGTGTCTTTCAGGGAGGAGCGGCTGTTTGACCGCCAGCACACCCGTGTTGATCAAACCCTTCCTGGTCATAAAGTTCAGCACCCGGTCCATCTCCTGCACGCAGCGCACACGCACCAACCCCCGGACAATGATGTGCTGTGCACATTTCTGAGAAGTCAGCATCTCCTTTAGAAATAAATAGATTAATTAAATCAACTGCTTGTTGTTTTGTGGAGTTTTAAAATCACTTTTAGGGAACAATGAGACATTTAAGAGCTAAAAAAAGATAAGAAAGAAAATCATTTCCTGGTTCAATAGATGAACAGATAGTTCAGTGTTGGCAGATGTCAGCATACCTTGCAGTTCTTGTGCCAAGAAGCCAGAATAAGGTTACGCAGAGCCAAATACATGGTGGGATCACGGGAAAACTCTGGAAACTCGTAAAGCTCATCCAGCTCCATCATATCCGGCCGCACACACAGAGCCTTGCCACACTCATTAGGCTGATAGAAGGGCTGGAAGTACGGACACAGACCTGGAACTGAGGGGCACAATAATGATTAATAAACCACATTGGTGGTTTGGACTGACATCTCTAAATTTCACCTGTACTCACACACTTACTTTGAGGCTGTACAGCTCGGCAGTGATCGGCCCTCAGATCGTTCAGAGCCATGTTGCTGGGAGAGCCTGACGGACTCATTCCCACACAGTCGGGGTAGTAGGCAGCGAGGAAAGGGCTGGCTGGACTTTCTTTAAACAGTGGCGGCAAAATCAGCATTGAATGCCACCAGCTGTCGGTCACCTCAGCTACTCTCTGTGTAAATAACAGAGTTGGGGTTAAAGAGAATGAAAATCAATGGATCATCTTTTAATGACACACAATTGATGCATAATCATTTCATTTAGAATTTGTATAATGAATTTTATTGGCTGAAAACTGTTCATTATTTGCTATGATCTGTTCTGGAATCCTCCCCAGCTCTTACCAGGTCCTCTGGTTGGGAGCAGTGGTCTGGTCCTTCACTCTGTCGAGAAACAAACAAGGTAGTTACAACCAAAAATGGCACTGAGTCAATGCCTCCTTTTTCAGTTTCCTATTTACCTTAATGTTGTTGAACTTCATTCCACAGCGATATGTTGCTGCTAAGGAAGCAGTGAGTTGGATCTCCTTTGTGAGCTGACGCCACTTCCTGCAGTCCGGTTTGGTGCATTGAACCTGAAAGTCACATGTAAAGTATGTATGGAGAACTCAGAGATACCACATTCAGCTGTTTAACAGGAAACAGGAAAGCAGAGTGCTCGTACCCAGAACGGCAGCTGCTGATCTGCCATGAAAGCTTTAAGACTGGGCTCACTTTTCCCATTACTCGTCCACACCTTCTTCCACGATGCAAAGGTCTCATAACCGTCTTTGTGGCTAAAAATTAGAAAAAAATCAATCAAAATATCTGACTTATACTGAACGAAGATGATTTCCCAGGATGTGGTACAGTATTGTGCGGAGGTTATGTGTTCAGTGGCTCTGTCAACATTACCTCCTGTAGTAGTGATCGAAGCATTCATTGCAAAAATGTTCACCACAGGAAAGATGATACCATCGAGAGGTGTATCCGTTTTTAGCACACCTGAGAGGAGACAGAAGAATGACCCACTGTCAACAAGCACGTAACTTAAATCCTTACTTCTGTTTTACCAAGAAACCTGGTACCTCTCATTTGCACTCGCAAAACAAACGGGGTACGTGGCAGAACATCCAGCCTTCTCACACTTTCTGTACTTCTTCTCAGACTGATCGTCTTCTTCCTCTGTGTCCGTAGCTTTTCTTTTGCTCTAGAAGAAAGTGTTGAGAGTGTTATTACCGAACTTAACTCAACAAATCATAATTCATACAGTGACCTTAAGTAAGGTTGCGATAAATACAGTGTACATGTTGTGATGTATGAGAAACTGCAATACAGACTAGTATATGCTAAAGATACCTTATGTCTGAGGAAATGTACCTGTCACCTTCTTATTCTTCAACTCTAAAATGTCCTACTCAGTTTGTGAAAGATTCTGTTTCTCAAATATAGACAATGGACTGAAGGCAAGATGCTGCAGAGGGTTTGTAAAAGTAAGAGGAAACAGTAAAAAAGTTAGAGACGCAATATACACATAAGGAACATGTAATATATTTGCAAAAAAATACATTAAATACTGTATTTGTGCATTAGGAGATGTTGAAATATACGAATATGTGTATATAGACAGGTATGGTATATAAACATGAATATGTATGAATACTCTCAAGTACTTGAGGTATCAGTCAGACTCTGATATAAATGGGATCGAGTATAGAACCGGCTCAGTGGTTACCTGTCCAGGTGGGGGGTTGTTGGTTCGCTTCACCCGGACGTTGATCTGTCTCCCGGAGGAGCGCAGGGTCTGGCTGTCCCCCGGTGACTCCCCGGAGCTCCTCTTCTTGGCTCGCCGGGCGCCGGAGGCATTCCCGGAGTAGTCTGGACAAGCACGACAACAATGTAACACAATACAACACCCCCGTGTGTCCGCGTGGAGACAAGCTGAGCCGCCGGTAGCCGGTGGAGTGAGCGCACAACGACGTTAATCGAGCCCTTTAAACCAAGCTACCAGTGTCACGTTTAGCAATTAGCAAGAAGCAGCAGCAGCAGCTAACACTGACCTGCGTCTGACAGCATGGCCGACCCGCGCTTCACCAGCCCCGGGACGAATTCACGTTCATGGGAGATTCTGGATGGTTCGTTCTTCCTCCGCAGCAAAAGGTTCGATCCCTACTATTGTTGCGGGAGCGGAGAGGCTGGTCACCGCCGCCGCCGCGTCGTTGTTGTTGTTGTTAGCAGGACGGCACTTCCGGCTTGAAAGGGGAAGTGGGCGGGGTTGGACCGCGCCGCTCTCCGTACTCTACGCGGTCGCCATAGCAACGGGAGTACGCCGCGCGGGAGTCCGGGTCGCGGCAGCGGCAGCGGCAGAGGCAGCGGCAGCTCGAGGAGAGAAGCTGCCACGACCCGAGGCAGCAAATCAGTTAGCGCAGTACTTCATGTGAAAACGATAAATATGTTTCCTCTACTAAATATCCAGATGTTTTAGGGGTTTTAGTTCAACTTCAAAAAGATTTATTGTTACTATTTTACTTTTTTTGTTGTTGTTTATGTTTTTGCTAATTACTGGTTGGCCAGGAAAGTAAAAAAAAAAAAAATAACAGTTCGCTTTTAATATCAGCACATTTCACTTTATTCTAACAGGATATGCATCATCATTTCTGTCCTTGGGGTCATTGTCGCTGAACTGAATTCGTGTAAAGACACGAGAATAAAACTTGGTTTAATAAAACTAGCATGTCCGTTTCGTTGGTTCATAACAACAAAATACAAATGTTCTGACAGAGGCAGCTTCCGGTCATCACTATGGCAACAAAGGGCCCCGGTGGCAGCTGGGTTTCTGTTGTCACCGGAAGTGCCTCTGCTCCGCGAGCTGCAGCTGCCACGGTTTGAGTTTGTCCACTGGACGATAGCGCTTCAATTACCATTATTCAGACTTCACCAGAAAACAAACCGAGTCCGAGTTGAAGGTGCTCCCGGGGGGTCGCTGTGTTGTTATCGGCGGATAGTTCTTGATTTGTCGGTGACCGAGGTGTGAGCGCAGGAAGCCGCCTGACACCTGAGGACAGAAAACACAGGGAGATGAGGCGGCGTCGCTCGCGTTTCCCGTGAGAAGACAATCAAACCTTTCCCCGAATGGATTCAGCCAAAGTTTCACTCAGGAAGAAACCGCAGATTCCCGCAGCGGCAGACAGGAGCCAGCTCCAGGAGGTGAACACGGGGTTTCTATTCTCATTATGTTGATGTCATGTCAACTGGTCAGTTATTTTTATGCTTCCGTTTTCATTCAGCACAATTTCCTTTAATATTTAAATGTGTATTTTTATAAATCATCCAGTGCCTCTTCTCTTATTTTCTTTATGTTGGAGGTAAATCACTTGAAATTGTCTTTTTGCTTAAAAGTACAAATGAACCTTACACTCATACACAGGTTTTAATATGATATTTTCACCATCACAAACTAATATTAATACAATCATACGATTGGTAAAGAATCTTTATTTCAGAAATGCACAACAGGATTTAATAAATAAATAAAAGAGTCTGATTTCCACAAAGTGATCCAGGTTTAAATTCAAGGTGTTTTACCTTAACACAAGATACAAAAGAAGTCAATATAACATTAGATTTTTAAAGGATGAATGCAAAGTAAAATAGATTTTTTTTGTAATGAAGGCAGTAGTACTTTGAAGGACTGTTGATTTTCTTAACAGGTCAGTGCCAGAAGTCTGGATTTGACAAAGGTGAGTCGTCTCCTTAAAGATCCGTTGACGGTAAGTTAAACGTGAAAGTTGTCACTGTTTTTTATATTTTTGTTTTAAGTGATGTTATATGTAATTTTACTTTTCGTTCTGGTTTTACTGAAGGCTCATTTGAAGGAGAGGCACCTGTTTGTCCTGAAGAAACTATTGAAGAGAAGCCAAATTGGTTTTGTATCCTTTGTCCTGGTTATAATGTTCTGACTTTTTCTTATAAGGTCGACTTCTCTTTACATGAAGTCCCTGTCTTGTAATGTCTGATGATATGAGGTGTCACACACGTCAAATTTTCCTCATTAATGTTTCCCGGTGCAGTGATGGAAATAGATTCGCTCTCATGCAACCTGACCACGGAACCAAAAGCTGTTCCCAAGGCTCTAATTTACCTCTGCGTCACTGTCTGTCAGCATTTTCCCTGTTCAAAAATAGTCTCAGCTATTATGATGACTTTTTTTGCCCCATCTCTTCTCCCTCCCCTCTGAGATTCTCAGAGACTCTTTGCTTAAAATTGTGAAAAAACGTCTTAATCCTTTTTCAAGCTATTGAAGGATCTGTCCGACGTCACCAAAATTCTCAATATCTGTGCTGACAAAGCGAACGATCATCCTGAATATGTTCCCATATTGTGTGAGGCTCTTAAAATCTGCAGGTAAGTAAATGCTAATATTTTTTTCTCCCTTTCTTCTCATGAGATCATCTGAACATGTCCGTGTTGCTCTGCTCCATCTTAGATCTCCCTTCCTGAAGGAGAAAACATCTGATGAGCTGAACTACGCTCAGGACGTCATAGAGTTCATCTCCCACATGGGTACACTTATTAAAAGCTATCCCTGGTCATATTTACATAAAACTACATTTAACAATTTCCTAAAGAATACCATACCTTCTAATAGCTACTACTTTATTTTTTTAATTTATTTATCTTTTTAAAGATGATCCCCATCAGATGATGTAAAGCTCAAAATTTAAAAAGATGTAATTTGTAATTTCATAGCAGTTAGTTATAGAAGACTATATTTATATATGGAACTCTGAAGCAAACAGTATTAGCTTTGGCTACATCAGAAGCATCTTGTTGGTAAAACAACACCAACCTATGATATCCTTCATATAGTTTGAACTTTTGGTCCTGGAGAAGTGACAGATGTGTCTCTGTTGACAGGGTGTCTCATGAGGGTGTCAGATGCTGAAGTAAAACAACAGATAGTTGAATGTGTGAAATCATTCTACAACAATGTGGCTCCTCAACAGCTGATCGACGGTACGGACAGTGCCACCAAGACAAAGCCTCGGACTTTATGCCCTGACAGATTTTCTAGACTTTCCCTAAGTGAGACTCTCTCATGGCTCCTGTGGTGGCATGCTTGTGCTTTTGTTTCTTTTTTACATTTATTCACTTGAATGTCTCCACTGTCTCAACTTGTCTCTGAAAAATAGTAGACTTCTCAAATACTTATTACTATATAGCTTTTAGTTGGTTTATTTTTGTTCTACTTGCCCTCATTATACTATCAAGAAAAAAAAAAGAATGATAGTGAATTCTATTTCTTTAAAATGCAAAATATATTTTTCCTTCATTTTCTGTTTTACCATTCATATTCATCTTCTCTTTGTTTGTTTTATGTCCTCACTGTTTCCAGGACTTTCTGGTCGTGTGTAATATATAATATATCTCTCTACTCTGTGCAGGTCTCCAGCCAACCTCTCCAGGCTACAGGCTGCAGCTGCTGGAGCTCAGTGACGTGGCACAGACGCTGCTCCTCTCCATGACCACTGTGGAGAACCAGCCCACCATCAAGCTGCAGCTCCTGAAGACCCTTCAGATCCTCTCAGGCTCCTCTGGTCAGTAACTGGTTGTCACTGAGGTAGTGGAGGAGGGGATGTGTCAGACCTGTCAATTCAAACAGACGTCCTCCCTCTTTAGATAGAGTAGCCAACCCCTCGAGAGCATAATTCATCAATCAAATCAAATAACAATTAGGCAAACAATCAAAACAGGGATTTTAAGTGTCCTTCTGTCAATGTCAGCAGGTCAATGAGTTGTTATTGTCAATAATCACATCTCTACTTCATCTTTTTTCATCTTGAAACCGCAGATAGGAACTGTGCTTTAATACTGAATGCACAGGGAGCCGAGACTATCTGTCTTCACATGAACCAGCCCGACCCGTCCGGTCAGGTCCTCTTCCACTCCTCAGAAATCCTCTGGAACCTGCTGGAGAGAGGCAGCAAGGACGAGGTCACCGCTCAGCTCAGCAGCATGGAGTGTATCGAGTAGGCATCTCCTGAGGTTTCATGGTGTTTTCAAACATGGACGAATCATTTATTTATTTTATAAGAGGACAAATATTTCCCCCTGAAATGTTAAAAATGTTCAAAACAGCTAAAGGAAGTCAACCAAACATTTAGAGTTTTAATAGGTTTGTGGTCTTACTTTGTCCAAATAGATATTTGATCTCTTCATTTCTCTTAGATCTCTGAAAGAAGCGTTTTTTCACCAGCTGATGAGCGATTTCAACCCTTCGGACCTCCAACTCAGAAATGATCTGCTCGTGATCATAACTCTCATCGCTGAGAACACCAACTCTCTGCTCATTGTGAGTACAGGACACATACACTGTGTTTTAGTCACGGGGGGGAGGGGGGTTATGTTACTGCTACAGTCTGACATGATGTCTCTAATTTTCAGGAGAGTTCATTTGCAAAGCAGCTCATGGTTTTCGTCACATTTCCTGAGTGTAAGACAACTGTTTTCTTACAGATCGCAATTATAATTCAGTTAGTCATGAGTTTAACAGCTGCTTTCATACCTACAACTTTTTTCTCCATCTATATTGTAGTGAAAACTCACAATCCCCTGGTTCGCAACTTCAAACTCAGGTTCAACAGCGAAGATTTGAAAATGAAGAAGTTGCTGTTGAATCTGTTGGTTTTAATGTCAAAGGATTTGGCCGCCCTGCAGGTCGGTCCCAGTCTCACTCAGCAGTTTTGTATGAATGGAGTCATTGGAGTCTGAACGTTTGCTCCATGCTTTCCTCTCTCAGCTATACAAAGAAGAGCAGGTGATGCCTGCTCTGCTGACGCTCGTGAAGCCACCTGCTGCCAAGTCTGAGCGACAGTCAGGTTTGCGTTACTGGTCCTCCATCCAGCAGGAAGAGCTCCAGCTGCAGGCGCTGGCCACGCTCTCCACCATCGCTCCGCTCATGTTGAACGACTACATGTCCTGTCAGGGAAACGCACGCCTGCTGCTCCTGCTGGACTGGTGCATTGGGAGAGGTGAGGAAGCAGGAAAACACCTGTATCTGAAAGGTCAAAGGCCACAGAGTAACATTCATGCATCCTTTCCTAATATGTAAGATACTGTGGATCTTACAGTAACTGCTCATGTGAACACACTTATTTCCTCCATCAGAAATTAAACCCATTACATTTCCTATTTTATTTCAGATTCTTCCGTCGGTGATGGCCACAGTTCCCATGGCACCGGAGGCAGAGGCAGTAAGAAGGCTCAACTGAGGCACTGCATCAGAGTCCTCCGATCTGTGACGTCTTTAGGTGAAGAGTCAGTCATCCAGGACCTTTGTGACCAAGGAACCATCACTCAGCTCACGGGTGAATTAAATTAAATTGTGACATTCACTTCATTTAACTGAGCATTATCAGCAGAAAGAGGTTAGAACTTCTGTATCTTCTCAGAGATTGTGATGCGGATGGAAGCGAGTCCCGATGAGGAGGATGCAGTGTCTCTGGAGATAAAGTCAGACATTCAGCTGATACTTTCAGCGCTGTGTGAGAGCGACATGCACAGGAAGGTAAAACTGCTGAAAATCTAGTAAGAAATAGAGAAATAGCTCTTTCCAGTAGTTATCCATTAATCCTTTTTATCTTTCTTTTGACTTTGGATGGATAGATTATAGATAGAGACATTTTCAGTTACCGTCTCATACCATACTTAATGTCAGTGCTGAGCTGTTGACAGAGTCTGTGATGATCTGCCACAGGAACTGTTTGCGTCAGAGGGAGTTGAGATGACACTTCATTTCCTGAAGAAAGGTTCTGACAAGTTCTACGGCGGTCTGGGACACAACAAGCTCATCCTCTCTACGGTCGACTGTGTTTGGTCAGTTCATATCCACTAAAAGACTTGTCAGGAATCAGCACAGCTCCTGTGGTCTCACATCGGTAGCTGTAGATTCTGCAGTTTAATCAAAGACTAAAGACAAATTCTGTAAATGTAGTGAACTTCTTGAACTTGTTGGTCTTTGTTCATTTTACACCCACAAAGCTGAGATCGTTTTGTTCTGTATCCCATCAGGTCCTGTATCGTGGGCTGCTACACCACAGAGGATTATTTTTTGGCTAAAGAAGGAGTGTTTCGTCTGCTCGACTTGCTCGTCGTAAGTATCTGATATCAGCAAATTTACACTCTTGTGTGATGAAAACACCTTTAAGTTGCTCTGGCAGTGTCCATATGCACCGACAGAAAATATAATTTCGGACTCTTTGTTTTCAGTCGAGCCCCAGGTGTGTTCACGGCATCGTTCTCGCAACCCTGTTGGAGTTATGTGACAACCCCAACACTCTGACTGACATCCGGAGCTGGAGGGATGAGAGCGGCCAGACAGCTTCCAAACTCCTGCTGCAGCTGTGGAGGCTGGAAGAGGAGGAACTGGGAGTCACCAGAAACAAACATGGAGGAATAACAGGTCTGCAACTAGACAACAACCATAGAAAGGGTGTGATGAATGTTTTTCTACATGGAAATACATTTAAACTCACTATTTTCAGTGGTCAGAGTTCTCCAGAGCAACGCATGCTTTAAGAAATATAGACTTCTTCAGGACGTCACCATTGATCATTTCTGTTTAATAAAATTCATTAGAGCCCCAGAGGTTCGTCCTCAGGAGGAACCAGCAGGACACCCAGCTGTCAGCGAACATGCCGAGTGCAGCAGTGCTGGAGATGTCAGAGAACCTGCGGTCGAAGATTTACTCCATCTTCTGCAAACTTGGTAAAACGAAATTGAAGAATCAGATCAATTTCAGTCAATGCAAAGTGTGGTAGTGGTTTATATAAGACAAGTCTAAGAGTTTAGGGATTTTCCTTTGGTCTGATTAAGTGATAATAAATACTCTCTCAGGTTTTCTGGACCTCCCCGGATTGTCATCCAAAGATTATGTGACTTTGGGCATCGTCAGGAGATATCTGGACTTTAAGGTGCAGGAATCTCAATCTCAGCAATTGATGTAATATCAAGAACTGAAATTGCCTGAACTAACACTGTGGTGCTGTAGGTTGGTGAGGTGTGGGACGAGATCAGCACGGAGCTGATGTTAGAAGGCTTGAGGCCGATCAGCCCAGACCGGGAGTCTCTGCGCACCATCTGTAAGATCACAGAGGACACTGCGAGGATGATGATAACAGAACAAAACAGCATCCTGGAGCAGCAGGAGAAGGAGGACCTCAGAGAGGAGGAGCTCATGTACACGGAGGTGAGGACAGTTTAATACAACACACAGCAAAGATACAAAGAGCAGGAAGCCTCGACAATTTTAATAGAGAAAATCTGGCTCATGCATCTCAGACTTGTAAGTTTTACATTTTGAGGCGAGCGATATTTTCATCAAAAGACATTTGTCTCGTAGTTTTGACTGGTGAATTTCTTGTGTCGTTTATTTCATCACAGATAAAGTCTCACTGGAAACAGAAGGAGCTCATAGCAAAGTCTTGGGACAGTTTGGTTTCCAGAACTTCAAACTATGAAATCCTGAAGGTTCTGTATATTTTATATCAGCAGCACTATTACACAAATATATTTAGATAACCTTGTTTTTATTCTTATCAGTGACAACTGTGCTGTTTCTCTTGTTTTTATGTACAGGAGGTAAAAGCACAGAGGAAGAAAGAGGTGGAATCATCGAGACCCTTAAAGGACGCGGATGCTGCGTTTCACTCTGCAGAGGTCTCTCACTGACACATTTACATGATTACACAGATTTTATGATGAGGTTTGCACCACAGTGTATCTGAAGCTTCTGGAGCAAAGCGGTTGTTTCTGTTGTTTTGACTTCATCAAGCTTTTAGTCACGTTGAGTGGGAAATATTACAAACATTTTCACTGGTCTTTAATTTTAAAAAAACAACTTGTGAATAAAAGCAGAGATATAATAGAAACTTTGAGCGAAGAGGTGACGCTGCTGCTGTGTCGTGCATATTTTTATAAATTATTACTGAGGTGATTGCAGAACAACAGAACAACAAGGAAACATTGTCCCTGATGATTACGTCTGTGTTTCAGCATCTCGTTGGGCAGGTGATGGCAGCAGAGAACTCTGATGCTCAGGCGCCTGCAGGACTGAAGCTGACTTTGACCAGAGGTCCAATCGGGAGTTCAGGTCAGAACCAAGAGGAACCAGCAACATGAGACCCAGAGTACTTCAGCTCTGGGTCTGTCAGACGTTTAACACAAGAGCTTTACTACACTTTTATTTTATAGCTTTCTTTTTCATTTAAATCCATAACAGAGCGAAATTAAGATCATACTAACAGATTTATAATGAACTTTTATTTGTATTCATGTTACACAGTGTAAACTATAACTTTTCTGTGTCTGCAGATGTTGAAGAGAAACAGCAGCCGATGCAGACGTGACATCACTTGTGCACAATCAGCACCTTGTAGTCTGGTCCAGCTCTCTACCCTTCATACACACACACACACACACACACACACACAAACACACACACACACACACACACACACACACACTGTAACTGTTCGATCACAAATACATGCCTGGCTCTCATCCTTACCCGAACTTAAATCTAATTCTAACTTAAAACCAAGTCTGATCCCTCAAACAGCCCTTTGAATAAGTGAGGAGAGGTAAAAATGACTGATGATTTTTTTACATGGCTGATAATAACTTCATGTTTCTTAAAACGAAGTTCAGCCTGTAGTTTATACACACCTGAAGGTAAAATGAGTTGAAGAGTGTTCTTTGATTTTTAGTTTGCTGATGTTTTATTCCAGCATATCTGATGGACGCTACATCTTTTACAGTGAATGTATATTAAAAAAGCATTTCAAGATGGAGAATTAAAGCACTGAGCACCGCTTAGTTACGTCTCTGTGTATTTGTACTCTGCTGCGTGTAGAAAACCAGATCTTTGTATTTGGCCTCTTTGTCTGAAGTGTTGTGTTTCGGCTTACATAAGTCGCTGCAGTGCATTAACACAAATGTTCGTTCGAGCGTGCAACATGCTGCACAGAGCCTCCGCTCCTGCTCTCACCCATTTTACTGGCTGGGTGACCAAATCATCTCTGACAGGCCGAGCTTTTCATGCAGCCCTGTGAGTGAGTGTGTGTGTGAGTGTGTGTCTGTGTGATGAGCCCATCAGACTGGGACTTCACAAAAGAGCAGGGACACACAGGAGCCTCCTCAGTTCCACAGGCTGCCACTGTTTGTTCAGGCTTCACATGGTGTCAGTCTGCTGAGCTGCTGCAGCCATCGATGAAGCGGAGGGTGAACGTGGGTGCTGGTGCTGCGTCTGGATCCCTGCTGGGTGCCGACCACCTCCCCGAGGACCCGTCGACTTCAAACTGTGAGACAGACTCTGTTTTACTGATGGTTTACAGACTCACTGAGAGGATGCAGCTTCACTTATCACTTATTTACTTATACTATGAAAGCACTTAATCATCACAGTAACACAGTGACGACACCTTAATGTGGTTATTAGAACTTATACAGATAGTTTTTGTGTTGTCTGATGTGTTTAGTGGATAGTATTTAAAAGTATAACCTAATAACTATGAAGACATGTTTTATTCAAGGTGTGTTTTTCTACATTCAATACAGCAGCCTCCACTTATAAAGGTTATAAATGGTGACAAATAAATAATGTTCCTATCTGCTTTTTTTAATTAAAAAAAATTCTGATAATTTTTTAAAAATAAATACAAGCGATTACAAAACTTCTGACAGAAAAGAAGTTTTTTATTTCAAGCTAAAACGATGGAGAGCTCACATGTAGCACCACCACTTTAAAAAGCTCATATCTAGGTACATTTCATTGCAATCTTTAAAAAGTTTCCTAATCTGTAATTATCCTTTTTTCTTCTCACCAATTATAACTAATTTCCACTTTAAAATATTTTCATTTTGTTGGTGTGAATAGTTTTCCTCTCCTGTAGGAAGGTTGTGAAGCTCCAGCAGCAGAAATGATCATCAGACTGGGAAGACTGACGCCAGGTTACTTCCGTCTCCTCCAGGTTAGTGTCTGTGACCCACTCTCACTTCTATCTCTGTGAACTGAGGACGTATTCAATGAGAAACCTTTTATTTCAGCTGTTATTAAAGAAGACAAACAGACCTGGAAACACGACTCTGAATCAATACTTTCATAATAACAGAATTAATCAAAACACGTTGCTCAGTAAATTTACACAGTTTTGCTTTAAAGCCACAGTGTGGAGGATTGTTTTTAACCGCAGTGACACCCGGTGGTAAGAAAGGACCCTGATGTAGAGGCCACCATCTTAATTGTTTATCTGTAATAATCTCAAAAAACCCTAAACATGGTGCCTGATGTGTGTTTAACTGCAGTTTGTCTGCCTGTGTCCGTCCTGTCTCCAGCGTCAGGTGTCTGGTGAGGTCTGCATGCAGCCCCAGCGCAGCCTCATTGACCCCATCGCCCTGATGATGGCCTCAGTCGGGACGGGAGTGTGTCTGTACAGCTCCAGACAGATGGCAGAGCGGGTCCAACTCAAACACCCCAACGCCTGATGATCGATAACAAGTTGTGTTGGGGGATGGTCTGATTGTCTGTTTGTGAAAGTCGGAGAAGGTTTGTGATGGAGGAGTTTGAAAGAAAGAACGTGTTTGTGTCGTCGCTAGAAGGAAAATCTGAGTGAACAAAGAAGAAAGTGTGAGACAAAGTTCAACGGGAAGATTTCCCTTTTTTTTCTTGTAATCACGTTCATTAATTTCTTAGTTAATTAAATTGATTAATTTCCTAATTAATGTCGTAATCACAACATTTACAAGTAAATATAAAGGAACCTGTAGTTTGAACACTGTATATTTTGTGTTTAGATGTTTGCACATTTTAATTGTGGCTCTATTTTAATGCAATAAATGAGCATGTCACTTTTTAACAATCATCTCAGCATTAAAGTTATAGACTTGTTAATACTTGCTGCATTTTGTAGAGCAACAAAACACACACAATAATCAATTCAACAAAATGAACAAAATAAAAACTTGTAAATTGATCACAGAAATGTTGTTTATTAAAATTAGTCACTAAATTTCCTGCAGAATATTTGAGTCCAGTCTTGAGGATTGTTCTGCTGTCGCCCCTTTATGTTTTAAATTTTTAATGCTGTGAGTATTTATTATGTGCTACACAAACTGTGAAGGAGCTCTTTTCATCAGGGAATCTTCAGTTTACTAAAATATAACTTAAATATAATGTTTTTACTGGATTTATTAAGAAAATGTAAAAACAAAATGTCCATAAAAACAAATTTAATTGTTTAATTGTTGGTCATTTGATGTAATTCTTGAATAAGTTATGTTCACAACCATGTTTTCAGTGTGTGTGTGTGTGTGCGCAGATTTCTCCACATATTTCTGGGACATTAAAACAAATGGTGGTTCTCAGTCAGTTTCAAAAGTGTCGCTGTGTCTCAATCACGTGGAAAAGTTTTGTCGGAAGCTGAAACAACGCGTGACTGCACAAACTGTACAGAGCGATTCATGTGAATGAATCTCTCACATGAGGGGAAGCTGCTGTGGATGAGACAATTCATTATGAAGAACAAAGTTACACAAAGATTTATATGAAACTTAAACCGATCTACATTTAATGTTAACAAAGGAAAACATTACTTCTTATTATCTCAGCCCTGCAGCTCCGTTCAGCTCTACTGAGCATTTCATTGTTTTTCAGCTCACGTCACCTGCAGATTTATTTCTCCCTCAGCCTCTGTCGACCAGACATGGACGGAGATTTGACTCTGTGAGAAACAGCCTCTGATGATGGTTTTACTAAATCTCTGCCACTGGGGATGGACAGAGACGTTAAAGGAGAATGTGAGAGCTGTGAAACCTTTGTTCACTCTGAAGAGAAACAACGGAAGCTACTTCAAATAGTTTCATAACAGTCTCAATCTTTATTCTTCTTCTGAGAGATTTTCAGTACATATGGAAGGAAAATAAAACGTCTGACAGAAAGAGAATCACACTTTGAAACAACAGCAGGAACATTTCCTTCAGGAATCTTTTTTCTCTTTTCACACGAGCCATGAAATGAATGGATCTGTGAGACACAGGCCCAGAGGTCAGAGGGGTCAGAGGAGGCCCATAATTCATTTATATTTACTACTTTTGTTTGTAAAACGTCAGAAATTATACATTGATTAATATTAAGTGAAATAAAAATACCTCAGTCAAACCATAGATCGTATTTAAGAGTGAAACACATCTGGACCCTGCAGCTGTCTGGTGGTTGTAGTTCACCCTCCCTCCAGCAGGTGTCAGTGAACGTGGGTCTCCGCTGTGGACGAGCTGGGTGTTAAAGTGCAGAGTAAGTGTTTATGTGACGGATGAAAACACGTGAAGTTGAGAAGAAGAAGAAGAAGAAGAAGTAAACAAACAACAGATCTCCGCTTTTTTATCTGACGTGATGATAATTTAAAAAAAAAAACTCTTCCGCTGATGTCAGAAGTTTTTTAATGACGCCATCAAACCTGTGTTCTTCTTCTTCAGCTGTGCGTAATTTGAAGATGTCTGTGCGTAAAGGCGCGCCCCTGCCCGCACCGCTCTCCTCCTCTTCCTCCTCTTCCTTATCTTCATCTTCCTCGGATCTGGATCACAGCAGCGGGGGAACCTTCTGAAAATGGCTGCTCTCACGCTCCGGCCTCCCCGGAGCAGCGGCGGCAGCAGCGGCCGCTCCGCAGCGCGTCTCGCCGGGGTCCTCGCCTGCGTTTTGCTGCTCGCTGTCGGTGCCTCCGCGAGTCGTGACGAGGTGACGGGGGAAAGCAACGGGACGCGGAGGGACCCAGGCCGGGCGGCACAGCCGGGGGAGCAGCACCCTGACAACTCGAGTAACTCCACGGCTCACAAGAAGGCTTTCCCCGTCCTCTCCTTCCACTACGAGGACGTCAGGAAGCCGTTCGAGATCTCCCTGTGGATCCTCCTGGCTCTGCTCATGAAGCTAGGTGAGAGACAAACTACCGATCTGACAGATCCATGAATCCATCAATACTGAATCCATCTATACTGAATCAATAGACCAGAGAGAGGAGCTGGTGGATCAAACTCTGGTTAATGAGCCCTTCACTTAAATGTCCAAAGTTTCTAAAGTAATTTTTGAATTTCTGAACTCACGTGAGGAGATTCAAATGGATTCTGACTGAAAATGTCAAACTAATGGATTGTTAAACTACAGCAGACTGACCAGTGACTAGTGAGAAAATTAAAAATGTCAAATTTCTTCAAATGTCTCGTTTTGTTCAACCAACGACAAAGAGAAGCTGCAGATTGGAGAAGATGAACACAACCTGTGGAGCGGTGGGACACAAGCCAGCTCCACTACAAGTAATCAAAAACATAATGATGATGATAATAAATGCCACAGACCAGTTGGCTCTGTGTATCTGCGTCAGAGCTGAAGGTCACTGATAAGAGATGAATCGTTGGACATTTTGAGTCTGAGCCGTCGTGATCGTGGGGGTCGTGCCTGTAGACGTGCTCGACCAATCACGAGCCAATCTCATTATTACTTCATCAACTTTTGTTCAAGTGTATATTGAAACTTTATCCGTCTTACATAACAACCAACTGAATATTGAAATGGGCACCAGCCTCGATGTAGGACGGTGGTTTGTGATCGGCTTGAAGAGTGAGCTTGCATCTTTATCTGTTCGTCCAGCTGTGCTCTCCGAGGACCGGTCCCACTTCCTGTCCAAACGCACAGCTCGATAACAAAGATGTCAGTGTGCAGAGTGCGGAGTCAGAGTGGAGAGGTGGGGGGGGGGGCTGCACACAAGACCACTGACTGGCTCGTATTCAGCAGCCTGGAGTCATGTGACGCACAGAACAAATGCCAAGGCTCGTTCAGTGAAGAGAGAGAGGGTCAATACTTTTTATAACACTTTTCTTGTCTATCACTCAAAGTGCTTTACAGTACAAGTCCCATTAACCCATTCATGCACACAGTGAGGAGCCGGGAATCAAACCACCGACCTCCCGGTTAGTGAACGACCCTTGTTGAGGACGTTTGCAGATTCTCTCAGTGGGTGTTTTCCCTGATTTGTATTTGAAGACACTTCTTCAAAGCGCTCTTGAGATATGAACGATGTGAATGGGACCCACAACCCAACAATCTAACGTCACCAGCTTTGGTGCAGAGACATAAAAATTTGAAATCCTCTCACTCCGCAGGTTTTCACATTATTCCCCATGTGTCGAACGTGGTCCCGGAGAGCTGCCTGCTGATCGTCGTCGGTCTTCTTGTTGGCTGCTTCATCAAAGCCATCGGAGAGGAAGCCCCCATCCTCCACTCCCAGCTCTTCTTCCTTTACCTGCTGCCTCCCATCATCCTCGACGCCGGCTACTTCCTGCCCATCCGGCCCTTCGTGGAAAACCTGGGCACCATCCTGGTGTTCGCGGTGGTGGGCACGCTGTGGAACACCTTCTTTGTCGGCGGGATGATGTACGGCGTGTGTCAGATCGAGGGGGCGCAGCTGGCCAGCGTGGACCTGCTGTCCTGCCTCCTGTTCGGCTCCATCATCTCGGCCGTGGACCCCGTGGCCGTGCTGGCCGTGTTCGAGGAGATCCACATCAACGAGCTGCTGCACATCCTCGTGTTCGGGGAGTCGCTCCTCAACGACGCCGTCACCGTGGTGAGTGGAGCGAAAGAGGGAGGCTGGAGAATAATTTTGTGTTTACTTGAACTCGAGTATTTCCATTTCCAAATTGGCTCTGCCTCGGTTTCTCTCCCTGCAGGTTCTGTATCACCTGTTCAAGGAGTTTTCTGAAGCAGGAACCGTGACTGTGGGCGACGCCCTCCTCGGCGTCATCTGCTTCTTCGTGGTTTCCCTGGGAGGCATCATGGTCGGAGCCATCTACGGCCTCCTGGGTGCTTTCACCTCCCGCTTCACCTCTCACACTCGAGTCATCGAGCCGCTGTTTGTCTTCCTCTACAGCTACATGGCGTACCTCTCCGCTGAGGTCTTCCGCCTGTCGGGGATCATGTCGTGAGTCAGACTCTGACAGAAATCTAAAATATCCTGGAACGTGCGACTGACCTTGAACTGAAAACAGAGCGGCTCGTCTCAAGAATATTTTCTCCTCTGCTCCCGTCCCGCGTAGGTTGATAACGTGTGGCGTGGTAATGCGGCCGTACGTGGAGGCCAACATCTCCCACAAGTCCCACACCACCATCAAATACTTCCTGAAGATGTTGAGCAGCGTGACCGAGACGCTCATCTTCATCTTCCTCGGCGTTTCCACGGTAGCCGGCCCTCACGCCTGGAACTGGACCTTCGTCATCCTCACCCTTATCCTGTGTCTGGTGTCGAGAGTTCTGGGTCAGTGCAAACGAACGCAACCTCGATTATGTGTCATGTTGTTGTGTGATTTGTCAGCATAGTGTACGATAACACACGTTGCTGCCTCTTGTTGTTGTTGTGTGTTTCAGGGGTCATCGGACTCACGTACATCATCAATAAATTTCGTATCGTGAAGTTGAACAAAAAGGAACAGTTCATCGTGGCCTACGGGGGCCTGCGGGGGGCCATCGCCTTCTCACTGGGCTTCCTGCTGACCAACAAGGAGATGAAGCAGATGTTTCTCACCGCCATCATCACTGTCATCTTCTTCACTGTCTTCGTGCAGGTGAGAGCGAATCTCTCTGGACGCGTCCGTCAGAATTAAAACACGTTGCAGCTCTTCTCTAGTCCAACATGATTATTCATATAACAAAATTATGAATGAATAATATTAGTTTTAAGAACTGGGTTTTTTTTTCAATATATCATTTGTGCTTTTTATTTTATTTTTTTACACCTGATTAGTCAGGTTTTTCTCTTTGCTGACCTCTAGTGGTGAGGAGGATGGTTTGCGACACACTCTTCATGTGCGTGAGTGGAAAAACAAACGTGCACGACTTCCCTCCTGTGTGTTTTCAGGGGATGACGATCAGGCCTCTGGTGGAGCTTCTTGAAGTGAAGAAGAAGAAGGAAAGCAAAAGATCGATAAACGAGGAGATTCACACACAGGTGACATTTGAACCTTCAGTCAGTGACGCTTCAGCAACAGACAACAGTCGAGTCTTGATTCTATCACGTGATTAATTTATCCTGAAAGGTTTTCACACATTAAATGGTTTGTTTTAAGTTTTGTTGTTTCTCTCCTAAATCACTGACGGGACATTTTTTCTCAATGAAACCTTGTTAGAAATGTTTCTTGTTTTTTTACAGGGTGGATAAGTTCGATAATTTTATTTGGCAAATAGACATTAGTTGGTTTTTTTTTAGGACTTCAAGTAGTTTGAGGGTAAATGTGTGATTTCTGTCTGTATACGTGAAACCTGACTGTAAAAACGAATTTCATCTTCAGTTCCTGGATCATCTGCTCACAGGGATCGAAGACATCTGTGGTCATTACGGACACCATCACTGGAAAGACAAGTAGGATTCCGTCAACACGTCCTCCTTTCACCGTCTTCCGTTTCCATGGCGTCTCTGTCTACCACTGTTGTCACTGTCGTCTCTTCTCAGGCTGAACCGCTTCAACAAGACGTACGTGAAGAAGTGGCTGATCGCGGGCGAACGCTCCACTGAACCTCAGCTCATCTCCTTCTACAACAAGATGGAGATGAAGCAGGCCATGATGCTGGTGGAGAGCGGGAGCACCGCCAAGCTGCCCACCATCGCGTCGTCCGTCTCCATGCAGTAAGTCTGAGTCACACGTCACAGGAGCAGATCCTCATGTAGTTTCTTAGATGAAGGATTAAGGGGAGTTGATCTCAACTTCATTTAGGAACCACTTTATATTATTATTATTCTTATTGCCATCATCATATTCCCACATTTTGACTTTGATTATCATTTAACATTAAAAACTGTGAGATAAAAAAAATAAGAAGGAAAGTTAAAAGTCTAAAAACTGTTTCAATAGATGGTTCAAAGAAAATGTCAGATATCAGAGTTGTATTTTTTTGTGCACCTGCAGGAACATTCAGCCGAAAGGTCTGAGCAGAGGACGTGCGATGCCGAGCATCTCCAGGAGTCGAGAGGAGGAGATCAGAAAGATCCTGCGAGGAAACCTACAGAAGACGAGACAGAGGGTACGAGAGGCCTCGGTGGAGAGTTCATGAATTATTTACCGATGTGCATCCGTGTTCCTGAGCGCGACGAACGTTTCATCCACATTTTCAAGTTCCAGGAGCATCCCGCCGCAAAAAATCACTGATTAACTGTTTGAAGAAGAATCATATTTTCCGATGCTGGCACTGATGTTTTTCTCTCTCCTCAGCTTCGCTCCTACAGTCGACACGACCTGATGATGGATCCGTTCGAGGACAATCTGAGTGAGCTTCGCTTCAGGAAGCAGAGAGTGGAGATGGAGAGGAGGGTGAGTTTCAGCACCGACGCTGATTCTTCTTTGAGGTTTAAAGCTTTTAAAATGAAAGTGCGTTCTCTCTTTTTGTTTTGTTTCCCTCACAGATGAGTCACTACCTCACAGTTCCTGCAAACCGGCAGGAAACTCCGTCTGTGAGAAAAGTCTGTTTCGAACCAGGTCAGTCGCACATGAAGCTTTTAAGGCTAGTGAAGTAAAGTGTTTGGAGCGTTTTCTCTATTTGATTCTTATTAGATAATTATTTCTGTCATTAATTTGATTAATAAAATAAAATATGTGCAGG